TTTAAAACAATAACTTCCTAATATGTGAATAACAAATAGAATTTATGTACATATTAAGCAATTACTAACCGTTAAGATTCAAAAAGCACTATTATTTAAATAAATTTTATTCAAACAGAGTTCATCTAAAATAATACTTTATAGTATAAAAAGAAATTTTTATTAAACGATTTGCGACATCTGCCATCGTTATGTACAAGTGGAAAATGCCTCGTCCACAATCCCTAAAAGCAATTCTCACCCTTCTGTTGCGCGAGAACTCTGGTAGCATTCTGCACCCTTACTTTTGCTAAAACTTCCCCAATTTTCCGAAAGATGAAGCAAAGTGTTTAATGTGATATACTGTATGGTTTGAATAAGTCTTTTAATTGTAAAAATAAATATAAATAAGTTTAATTAGTATTTTGCCAAATGAAAATTCCATTATATTTCAAATACTTGAATATACATACTTAGTACTACAGTACTACAAATAATACAATCATTTACTTTCCATTAATTTTAGCTTTGTGCAGACGCAATAATTACAAAACTAAATACCTCTTAAGCAACTAAGTTCATTCTTGTTGTATAATATGACACCAATTTTCAAAAAATTTCCACTTACAGTCTGTAGGTAATTATTTTGACGATAATAAGGTTTTATGTATTAAATAAACTCAGTTTTTTCATCAATGTTTAAATGGTTTAAAATCTATCTAAATTTTGCATAAGAATATGTTTTAATTTTTACAATTTTAATCAACGGTAAGTAACTACGTAAGAAACTCAAATCAGTAGCTGATTATAATGACACAAAAGACAGTGATTGTGAGATAACACGGTTCACCGTATAGAATGCCAATCTTAAAAATTCCTCTTAACATTAGTAATAGCTTATTCATTTCATTGTGATAAGTATTTATGTATGTATGTAGCCATTTTCCTCACATTTTTCAAAAACCTGAAAACAATAATAGTTTAGTGTCATATTGCTTGTAAGTATTTCGTTCTTTTTGTGAAATAGTTTATTTTTGCGATGCCGTAGATAGTATAACGAACAGGTGACATGGTCGTCTACAATTATTTTTCCTATTTTTCTTAAAAAACGCAAAATATATTTAAATTGGTCGAAATTACTCATTATTGTTTTCTAATTCAGGAGCTATCTAATCTAAAAGTCAATGACAATTAAAATATTAACATTAAACATTATATTTTACATTTAATGTATAAAAACAGACTTCAATACATTACCTATATGAATTATTAATGAGGAAAACCCTTGAATTTTCCAAATTACAGATGCCTAAATACAAAAGTGTAATTTACGTAATTGTACAACCATTTCTAATTTATACACTGTTTCTTTTTACATATGCGAGAAAAATTATTTTTGTGCCCTTTACTTCTGCTAAAGCAAATATAAATAAATATCAAACTATAATAGAAATACTAGCAATAATAAAATTGACATTATTAGCTGCTACCAATTTCCGCTGAGTTTCAGTTTACGTATCTATTCATGCTTAAATACAAGCCCGAAGCAACAAGAAAGAACAAAGAATGTGTAAACATAATTAATTATTTCTTATGCAAACAATTTTTTACTCTCTTGTGTTCCGCCAGTCTCTTTTACTTCTTATTTTTAAATAATTGCGATCGTACAATGAAATCACTTAACAGACATTACATACGCATTTCAAGTCTGAAGTAAGAAGAAAATGTATTATTAATCTTTTAATCGGGTAAAAACGGTACTAATCAAATATTTAAAAGCTGTTTTTTTTTCTTCAAAAGATTAAAAGAATTTCTGACTGTCTTACACCTAAAAAAAAATAGGTAAATAGCTTTGAGATAACATTAAAAGATTCTATTAATTTGTTCATACTTAACATTGCTCTCTACCTAATGTTTTAAGATATCATGATTACATGTGTTGCACTTTTACATAAAGTATCTCAAAGTCATACTCTGCAGTTACCAAGATATCTAAGAGAATATTGTCGCTCTTAATATACTTTTAATCTAATTTTTTAGAATTTATAAAGGAATCACTTTATCAATTAATAGAACATAAAAATTACATTACAAACCATTGTTTAATTGAAGGCAACTGTAGTTATGGCAAGATATTGTAATCGAATTATAATAACACGTATAATGGCAGAGGCGGTGAGATAACTGAATTGATTAATTAAATGTTAATTAGATTTAAAACAAATACATAATTAGATTANTCGCCAAAGTTGTGTACCTGTTTCCTTCCTAAAATTGTGTCATTTAATTGGATTTTTAATTAAAAATCACCAATCTTTTGACATACTGAACATGTTTAAATGTCAATATTCGATCGCCATAGGGTCACGAATAGACAACGGTACCATACTAGTAATTCTAAGTACGGACCTGCATAATGAGTGCTACATAATGTTTTTGCGAAATTTTTATTGAAAACATTTAATAGTCATTAATTAGAATCAACATTAAGTATCCGTAATATTAATAAATCCTTTCGTTGTGTTTTTATGATAAGTACGTAATAGACGCATAATAATCCAAAATCGAAGACTACAATTATATTTTCCAGAACATTATTTTAATAGTTGTAATATCCCTATAAATATCATTATATATTAATATCATTTTCATTGATATAAGTAACTATTTGTTGAGATAGTGACGATGAATAGTGAAGAATTTAAACAGTTTGGCAAAGCCATGATTGATTACATCGCTACTTATTTGGATAACATAAGAAACAGGTAATAATTAACGAATTTTCTTACCTAGAGGCAATTAGTTCCTGGTTTTTATTTTGCTCTTTCTAAAGAGTTCATCAAACAAATAATTTAGACAAACGGAAACGAAATAAATAATATATTTCAGCTTCCAAATTTGTAAGCATTAAATTAATTTATTTATGGGTAGATATCATAATTTAATCAAAAATTGATTCAGATTTCAGACATCAATTTGATGTCCTGTTTCCTTAAATCACGCCTACCCTACCCGTAAATTTATTTGTCCTGCTTCCAGGGTTCCTTGTTTTTGTTTTTGATGTTTCAAAGGACAATTCTAAATTAATGTTAAGTTAGATGACAATAAGTAGTTACTTTTATTTCTTATTCAATTTTTGTAATAGTCTTAATTACTTTAATTACTGTAAGGTGATTTGTCTTAAAAAAAATCCTTTCTTTATATGCTATTTCTATGACATGTACAGCAGCTACTACGGAAATATTAATTTAATGGGAAAGGAAAGGTATCATCCTTAGCTTTCCTGAAAATATAATTCTTTTTAATTTGTAATCAGAATGTTTTTGTAACCCTTGTAGAGATGTTATTCCGTCAGTTGAACCGGGTTATATGACAAAATTAGTACCAGAAGAAGCCCCAACTAAAGGAGAAAATTGGAGAGCTATAATGACCGATTTGGAAAAAGTAATTATGCCTGGAATTACACATTGGCATTCTCCTTATTTTCATGCTTATTTTCCAACCGCCAACTCGTATCCTGCGATTGTTGGAGAGTTACTAAGTGCCGGTATCGGCTGCGTTGGATTTTCATGGGTAATTCATAAAATACAATCAAAATAACTTGATAATTGATACGTGAACTGACGCTGTTCTGATTTGGGTCTGGATGTCCACAATCGGAGATGGAATAAGCCCGCCACTCCTGCTAGACGACAACGACCTTTAGATCCAAATCAGGTCAGCATCAGTTCTCCTACCAATTTGTCAATTGGTACGTGAATTTATTCCTTTATTAGTTTTCAAGTCCTGCTTGCACAGAACTGGAAATGTTGGTAATGAACTGGCTTGCAAAGCTCCTCGGTCTTCCAGATTGTTTTCTAAATAAATCTGGATCTTCCGGAGGTGGAACGATTCAGGTAACAATAAAACAGTAACAAGTAATATTTACTAAATGTTGTTATCACTGCTATTATTATTATTATTATAGGGATCAGCTAGTGAGACAACATTTATCTGTCTCATTGCGGCGAGAGACAGGACGATTAAAAGAATAAAGCAAAAATTCCCGCACATGACAGAATCTGATATTAGGGGTCGTCTTGTTGCATACACGTCAGACCAAGCAAATTCATCAGTTGAAAAGGCTGGTCTCATTGCAGCCATTCCAATGAAACATCTTCCATCAAACGAATACGGTAAACTTACCGCAGAGACGCTCCTGGAAGCCGTAGAAAAAGATGAAAGTAACGGTATGTTTCCCTGTTTTGTCCTTGCCACTTTAGGTTCAACAGGAATATGTGCATTTGATAATTTGGAAGAGCTCGGTCCTGTATGTGCCGGAAGGAATATTTGGCTTCACGTGGACGCTGCGTACGCCGGGGCAGCGTTCTCTTGTCCAGAATATCGACATTTGATGAAAGGCATCGAATTCGCGGATTCCTTCAACTTCAACCCACACAAATGGATGCTGGTCAATTCTGATTGTTCNAATCGCATTCCGTTCTATGTTGTGGCAACTTTGGGAAGCACTGGCACTTGCGCTTTTGATAAATTAGAAGAAATTGGACCAATTTGTAAGAAAGAAGGTGTGTGGCTTCATATCGATGCTGCGTACGCAGGAACTGCCTTTGTGTGTCCAGAATATCGACATTTGATGAAAGGCATCGAATTCGCGGATTCCTTCAACTTCAACCCACACAAATGGATGCTGGTCAATTCTGATTGTTCTGCTATGTGGTTAAAAGAATCCCAACCCTTAATAGATGCATTCAAAGTCGAGAGGATCTATTTAAGACACAAATACGAAGGTCTCGTTCCTGACTACAGACACTGGCAAATCTCTTTAGGGCGTAGATTTAGAGCGTTGAAGGTGTGGTTCACGTTGAGAATATATGGAACGGACGGGATCAGAAATCATATACGACATCAAGCATCTTTGGCAAAGTATTTCGAATATGTTTTGAAAAAGGACCACAGATTTGACGTTCCCTTATCGAACATGGGCCTTGTACTATTTAATCTGCGGGCCGGTGACAATTCTACACAAAAATTATTGAATCTTTTGACAGAGAGGAAGAAACTCTACTTAATTCCGTGCCACTTCATGGGAAAACTTGTTGTAAGATTTGTTGTGTGTAGCAGATTTACCACGGCAGCTGATATTGAGTTTTCCCTAAGGGAAATTATTGCAGTTGCAAATAAACTACTACTCCCGACCCAAGAAGGTGTGTGGCTTCATATCGATGCTGCGTACGCAGGAACTGCCTTTGTGTGTCAGGGAATGTCTGAATAATTTAATATATATAACTTTTCAATATTTTTGTAAAGTTTTAATAAAAATAAAAAAGAATTAGTGGAAACTCGAGTAAGATATGAGAACACAAAAAACAAATTAGAGAAACATCTTTAAATACGTAAACTATGCAATAAGGATATACTAAAAATTGATTTGACAATTAAGATACAACAGAACATTTAAATAAGTTCTTCAAATAACTAATGATGTACTAAAATCGATTTTGGCCAGCGCTCATACATATATGTGCATTCTTGAGTGTATCATGGTAATTAAATTGTCCCATTATGATACAGCTGTAATGAATTGTGCGATCTTATATATTCTCTTACGTAATTATTCTTATCACAGAGAAACAACCGTGAAAAACCACATCAGCCAAGCTATTGTCTATTAGAGTAATGTGTAAATAAAACTAGGCTGCATCCAACAATCAGTATATTTCTGCTATAATTAACATTGTTAATTAACACTATTTAATAAAAGTATGATGTGCTGATGACATCTAGAAAAATCAACTGGTATTTTCGGTAAATTTCAGATCAAGTACTTAATAAATGCTCGCATTGATATAGTTGATTTAGTTAGACAGCAACAAATACTAACTAGATGGCAATTTTTAATAGAGTTTATAATAATTAATAATTCTAGAAAGTTAAAAGGAAGTCATCATTGGCGTAGAAAGAATTCTTCATAGGTAGCTAGGTCGTGACCCTATATATATTAAAATAGCCTTATCTCAAAGAATTAAAAGGGTTTTTGACTAAATGAACAATTCATTCGCACCCGACGATTTTACTTCATTGTTTAATCTGTTAACCCATAGTTATCTTCATCATTATAGAGTCGCCTTCGCAAAAACTAGAAAATTTAATATCCTTAACTATTTGCTTGCAGGATATAAAGGTCTTTCACTGTTTCTGCGTCTAATATATTTTCTTATTGGCTTCTAATCGCTCTTGGTTCTCCTTCTCTGTCCACTGCCACATCATTTTAACATCCTCCTATAACACCACACCTCAAATGCTTTTAACTTTTGCTTTTCTGACAAGTTCACAGACCACCCTTTAAGTAATCTTTTCCAAATTGTTAATTAACCGATCGTCAGCACAGAATTTAACCCATGATAGTATTAATTCGGAGTTCCATGGTTTAAAATAATTAAAAATTCACCCTGAAGTTCTAAATAAAAATCCCAATCAAGAAGCTTATACGTAGAATTAGTTGACAGTAATGTTGTGATTATATTGACATCTTCTTATTGTGTTTTAAATTTCTTGAATGTTTTAAACTGAACTGTGAAAAATTACTTGTTATATAGATTTCAGGAACCCATTGTTAGATACAAAAATAGAAAATTAACAGAATGCTTCCAAATAAAATACTTCGACTATACAATTTTCGTACGATTATAATTTGCACAAGGTAATTGAGACCCTCGTTGTATAATTGATTGTAACTGAATAGCGTATCATCCCCAGGAGCTTTTCCGTGACACAATTAAAATTTTTGAGAGTAACGCATTCGTTGAAAGACACTCAAAGATGCGGCGGCTCCGGATCGGAAGAAAACTTTCAAGTGTGTACCATATCCGATTGCATGGTGGATCCATGCAAACCTGAACCTTCAGTAGTAATAGTAGGGGCTGGTGTTGCTGGTTTATCCGCTGCCCATCGACTTCAGCAATGCGGAATTACAAACTTTACCATTTTGGAAGCTACCGATAGGTAACTGGACTACATTGAGTTCTTTTGTCTCTATTTGCAGGATTTTAAGCATTTTAGGATCAAAAAGAGATATTTGTTTTATCACTAGATTATTAATTTTACATTGAACTATCTATGGAATGAAGTCTAAATAATTTATGGTTCAATTCGCCTTGCTAAAATGATTCAGATAATACTTCTTTAATTGCAGACCGGGTGGTCGAATTCATTCCTGTTGGCTGGGTGATGTTATAGCAGAAATGGGTGCACAGTATATTGAAGGGGGTTGTATGGCAAATCCGATTTACAATTTAGCTGCTCAGGAAGGACTTTTGCAACCTCCTCTTGAACGTCCTGATCCCCTGAAGGGTCTGTTCTGCACAAGTGACGGCAGGGCAGTTGACGTTCATATTGCAACGTCCGCATATCATGTTTTTCGTAAAATCGAAAGCGAAGCAGCGGCACTCTTTAGCATGACAGGCGTTGGAAAACAGCATGGATCGCTGATGAATTTCATGACCCTACGAATACAGCAAGAACTTTTAAGATTTCCAGAAGAAGAAAGGTATTACATGATATGATATCCTTTAAAGTGTGCATCGATAGACCAGAACTTACACGAGTTTTCGAAATTTTGAAATCATATAAAGTTTTTCAACATATTGAAAAGGGATGGTGAATTTATATCTTACTAATTCTGATTAGAATATTCAAGTATGTCCAATATAATCCTCCAGTTTAACTATGAAAATGTCGATTTGTCCCTGCCAGGCAGTTTAACATCTAATTTAATGACACATGCAGATGTACTAAAGGAATATGTATAGTGAAACCTCATCAACGATATCTTCTAATCTAATGTTTTGTTTTCATTTGGATTTTATTAAATATTGGTAATCATTTAAAAATAACAACTAGTAACATTACCAGAACTTCTACTACAAAATCATTCAAAATCGAAGAAAAGGTGTGTGCTGTCTGGCGACTCCACCATTTCATTAGTATTCTTTGATAGATTGATAAAGAAATGAAGGAAAAATAAATTTATTATCGTATTTATAATACTTGAGATAATCTTCGCATTTTCCTGAAAGTAGAACATCCTACATCCTTATTTAGGTCTGCCTCTACTTCTTTTAACTCCAGTTTTTGCTTGTTCCCTTCATGCCTGGAAAGGTGCCCTATTTTTATTAACTTCCTTAGCTAACCTTCTCTATCCACAGAGGAAAAGATATTAAAATTAATTTTCATTTAGGTATGATGTTTCAAGAGTAATGTTTGGGTTATTGACGAATATTCGATCCAGAGTGGGAGAAAGTTTATGCCAAGTGAGCGCCGACAACTACGGGAGCTACGTGGGAATTCCCGGAGGAAAGCTACGTGTTCCACTGGGTTTCGTTGGAGTATTGTCACCGTTGCTCCGAGACCTTCCAGAATGCGCGATCAAATACAACAAACCAGTAGGGTCGATCAGATGGGGTACCATAAGCAACAAATCGGGTGGTCCAAGAGCTGTCGTGATGTGTTGTGATGGCGATCAGTATCACGCCGACTACGTCATCATTACAGTGTCGCTTGGTGTTCTAAAGCAACACGCGGATAAATTGTTTTGTCCTCCGTTATCGGCAGAAAAAATGGAAGCCATTCATAATTTAGGATTCGGACATGTCGACAAAATCTTTTTAGACTATTGCAGACCGTTTTGGGTTTGGAACGAAGGGGGGGTCAAGTTTGCCTGGTCACCTGATGAACAACAATCAAGACAAGACTGGACCAAAGGACTTAGTTCAGTTGAAGAAGTGGAAAATAGCAAACATGTACTGTGCGCGTACGTTTCCGGACCGGAAGCTTTAGAAATGGAAAGGGCTTCCGATGAAGAAGTTGCCGAAGGAGTAACTCGTGTTCTGAGGCAGTTCACTGGAGACGCTTCTTTACCATTTCCTAGTACCATTCTACGATCAAAATGGAGCTGTGACCCTTACTTTTGTGGAGCAGTTAGTTACATGAGCTTGACCTCCTGTGTTGGTCATCAGTGTGATTTGTCGACTCCTCTTCCCGGCCCTTGTGAACCTGTACCTCCTATTTTGTTGTTTGCTGGGGAGGCTACCTGTACGGGGCACTTTTCGACAGTACACGGGGCTAGATTAAGCGGAATTAGGGAAGCCGAGCGTATTTTGAAATTGACAAGGGAGTATGGCGGTCCGCCGAAATGCTGAATTTAATTTACAGTTACATTACAGGCACATTTCGATCAGCAAAATAATATTACCGTCAGTAATAGTTTAAACTCTATACTGTAATATGATTTATTCGTGTATTTTTTTTAGTTTACCTACCTGATATGTCACAAATAAAATTATTGTTATGTATCGAGTTTACTAATATTAATACACAAATTGATCTGCAGCCATATTTCTCTTGTCGATGTAAACATGATGATACTAAAAAATAAATTTCGAGTACTTGTTTGGGTAGTATAGAAGAAAAACAAACAATATTGAAAGATATTAAGTTTCATGTTTCTTTAAAAATGTGATGGTTCAAATTTAAATAAATTTCTAACAAATAAAATTGACGGATTGAAAGAAATATGAGTAATAAAAAGACTGACATTGTTTTACGAAACATATTTATTGTCTCAGCCCTTATGGACTACTATCAAGAAAAGGTTTGATGTCGACGAAGCATCATGATCGCAATGCTGATTGTGATACCTGTTTAATTTTCACAAATTTCTAACTCCGCCATTGCACAACGAATTAGATTTTCTGCGATGAAGCTACAATTAAGCTCATAATCCACGATCCAACATGAGAGCCAGTGAAGATTATGGTGCATTGTCAAAACTATTATTGGATATTGGAAATGGCAAATATCCATTTCATCAAGAAATAGGAGTAGATCTCATTCAAATTCCGTAGTATAAGATTATTGACTTGACTTTGATTTTAGAAATATTATGGATTCACTAAATTCCGAAGAAATCTTCGACGGAGCAATACTAATCTCCAAAATGAATTATTTGGCAGAAATTAACGAATAGGTCCTTAATAAACTGATAAAATGAAGCACAAATCTACTTGCAACATCCTGAACAACTTGAGCAACTGCCACATGAAGAGTGACAAATTGGTAAAGACTTTTACGACCAATAGGTGAACTAATGTCGTCCTGATTTAGGTCTAAAGGTTGTCGTCGATTGGAGTTCCTTCTTAACGTTTCTTAGCACGAGTGGTAAGCATCTTCAGCGATCCTTCCATCTGGTCACAATTTTTAATATTTTTTATGTTTCCAGGGTTATCTTCACTGCCTTTCACTAATAGCAAAAACAATTCGGAATAGACAAAGGACGTAGCCAACATATTAAACGCGACATTTACAAGATACTCACCAGAACTTCCCCCATTTACAGGCCCTTAAAACATGCTTGTTTTTGTAAATAAAACACTTCATAGGTAAGATTTTCCTTCTTCATTCTTTGATCTATTTTTTTTTTTACTGACGAAGATTATGAATTAAAACAATTTACGCATTTGCATTCGTCAACAACATTTATTTGTATACATATACATATATTATTAATGTACATATATGCAGTAGTACAATCGTTTACATATATCACATGCCAATAACGAAATGGTCCCTATTACAGACGCATATGTAAATATGCACACACACGTATATAATTAGCAACATTAATTAGACTCGTAAGAAGCGAACAACAGCAACAACGTGGTCCCACATTGGTCATTAAATGGATTCAAAATCTGTATAATTCTAAGTGCCTAACAATATTTTATACTGATAGTGACCTTCAGAGGTCAGGAACGTACGAAGCCCAATACCAACAATAGATGTTTTGACAATTAGAAATAAGTAAAGTTGAAGTTAAATGACCAAGTCTACAATTACATTATCAAAGTTGAAACTTACCTCGTTGATCTGAAATAGTTCATGTTTTACTCATTTTAATGAGAAAAATCTAAATTATGTATCTGTTTCCTGTAAAACCTACTTAATTTATGACTATCTATTAAAGGCTATTTCTTGCAAATCTGCCAGCTTTTATATCAAAGATGGTCTCATTTAAATGGAATTTTAATAATCACCAATCTTTTGACATACTGAACATGTTTAAATGTCAATATTCGATCGCCATAGGGTCACGAATAGACAACGGTACCATACTAGTAATTCTAAGTACGGACCTGCATAATGAGTGCTACATAATGTTTTTGCGAAATTTTTATTGAAAACATTTAATAGTCATTAATTAGAATCAACATTAAGTATCCTGTAATATTAAATTTACATACAAATCAGATTTTATTATAACAAAAGTATAGACGAATTAAAACAGAAGCTAATGTAATAATATAATCGACAATATGCTAATAATTGCAAATATTAACCAATAATTTGATAATAATCGAAAATGTTATGTAATACAAAATACTTGTAGGAAATGCTAACTGCAAAAAATAAAATCAAATATTGTATGTGCATCAAACCAGGCTGTCGATGATCTGCCCACAAACTATTATTGAAATAAAATGACCTTAACTAAAAAAGCTTAGGTATTATTACATTAAATTAGAGAACGGTGCACTTTATTGTTTGATTAGTATGACCATGACCATATAAGGTCAAGCATTAGTTGTTCTATATTCTGCAGCAATTTGCCCTTTTTATGTAGGGAAATATAATAGTCCTATATAATGTATATAATATTAAATAATTTTAGAATGTCAACTAAAAGTTTCGTTATTAAATAATGTTTTTCCTAAAAGGACAATTAGACAATTAACATAAGTTCTAATACTTCAATTTTTTAAAACAATAACTTCCTAATATGTGAATAAGAAATAGAATTTATATACATATTAAGCAATTACTAACCGTTAAGATTCAAAAAGCACTATTATTTAAATAAATTTTATT